CCTCCAGCCCTCCAGCATTTCTCCTATACTCCTTGAGGACAGAGCTAGAGTCCCTGCCCACAGGGGGCTCCTTCAGGGGCGGGACCGTGACCCCTTGAGCCCATGCACTGGGTGGAGGCGGGGATTTCCTGTTGCTGCCCCTTACCGAGGGGATTGCTGGGTAAACGGCTGCATGTTCCTTCATTCAGCTCCTTGACCCCTAATGTGTATCACGGTGACAAACACCAAGGCTGTACTAGTAAATAAAACAGTCTGGAGGACAAGACAAACCCACAAACAATAGCAGTAGTTAAATATAATTGTGTGGGGTGCTACAGAAAATCCCAGACTGCCCTGAGCGCCCAGTCAGGGAGCTTGAGCTGGTCAGAGAAAACTTTCTGGAGACGTGCAGCCATATTGCGTTAAGCTTAAAATGCTGGGTTTCTAAGATACATTGTTGTCTTATAAGGAAGAACTTATCGTCAATTAAATTAGGACAGAAAGCTTTTTACTTCTACTTATCCAAAGGACTCTCTTAGACTTGTTTGGACATTGAATCTTCGTGCGTCACTTTTGTACACACATTAAAAGGAACATATAAGCATGATCAATTGGTTGAGGTCTTCCTAACCTCACTTTTTCACTTTCTGAGTCTGACTCCTCTGAATCACTTTTCCCCTGAGCAACTCTGTATCCATTTACGACCACGCCATATCACTCTCTGCCTTCCGGAGCACTGGTGATTCAGAGCTCTTGTCTCTGGGACTTATATCCGTGCTGCTGCTACCCATTCTGCCAGGTTGGATGCTGTCACTTTCTTGATCTTACCAGAGGTCTCTGTGGAATGTGCTTCAGACAACTGGGACCCATATTTCTTCTTTGGGTGGTTCTTGATGGTTTGTGAGTTGGACACTCAGTTCAGTTCGGGTGTCCAGTCCATGCGCTGGGGAATGACAACCAAGTGCATTCCTATGTAGGCAATGACAGTGATGTCAAGGCAACGATAATTGTAAGACACACCCCTGTATCAGTGATGAAAAAAGAATATACGTCTTGAAATTGATGAAAATCATTTACAAGAAGTCTGGGTGTAAGAGAGGGCTGTCATTATTCTGGTGAGGGAGTGATGTTGAGGCTCTGGATGGATGTTTCTGTGAGTCTCTTATTCACAAAATGGCCCCTCCACCAGGCTCAGAGGCAGAAAACAGGGAGCAGGGTTGGGCCTTTCTTCTCTTAGCAAGAAAAAGTTCCTCTCCCAGAAATTCCTTAGCAGATTTCTCCTTCCATTGGGCAGAATTGGATCATATAGCCATCCATCGTTACGAGGGAGATTGGGGAATCTGGGTATTTTTTCACCATGTCAAGAATGGGGTGGGGGATGATTTTTGGATGGCCAACTAACAGTATACCCCACTGTGGGCAAATTCATTTGAGATACAGTGAGTTAACCTAAAACACTGTAGGACTTCTCAGAGGCTTTAATATGGTAATATGGCTCATTGAATTATGGAAAATATGGTATTAAGCCTTTTTTTTAAAAAGATTTTATTTTTTGAGAGAGAGAATGAGAGAGATAGAGAGAGAGCATGAGAGGGGGAACAGCAGAGGGAGAAGCAGACGATGACATCCCCCCCCCCCGCCCGCTGAGCAAGGGAGCCCAATGTGGGGCTCAATCCTGGAACTCTGGGATCATGACCTGAACCGAAGGCAATCACTCAACCAACTGAGCCACCCAGGCGCCCCTGGTTATTAAGCTTTAACAAACTTAGGGGATCCAACTTAATTTTCCCAAAATAGGGAACCCAATTTTGCAGAATACCAGTGAACAACTCTTGGCTGTTCCCAGAATAATAAAATGGAGTTTCTCCAGAGCAGAGCCCAAGTGGCAGGGTGGATTAGGGTTTGTGGAAAATGAATGGGAATGAGGTTTGGAGAGGAGTCTGAGCAGGGCTGAGAGGTTTACAAATGAGAGGGCCATATCAATTCTAACCATCTCAGATTGGTTTGACAGATAAAGGCTGATTTGTTTTCGAGATCCTTGAATCCATGCCGCTCTGATTTTGCCTGAGTCAGGACTATGTTGATACAGAGCTATTATTACCCCTTTTCTTTGCTAACCTCTGCCACTTCCAGTCTTCATGATGCTAGTGATATTGGAGCTAGGTTGGCTGGCTTCTGGGAGTGGAATCCACTGCTTTGCCGAAGAGGCCATGTATGGTGCCTGCTCTGCCTGCTCTCAGATAGGTTGCTGAGCATTTGCAAGAGCTGGCAGACACATTGATGGAGTTCGTCCCTGGCCATTTATTTGGGCTTGGGGTCATGAAGCCCCCTGTTTCCTTTTGGTCAGGTGTAGTCTTTTCATTTTTTTATTCCAACAGCAATTTGTGTGTTACAGGAGGCAGTATCATCATGAACACCGTCGTCATCACCATGATCATAACTGGTATTTTTTGAACACTTACTTGGCATTGGACTTTGTAAGGGATATTGTATGGGCATAATCTCATGTAACCCTCCCCATATCCCGCCATGTGGATGCTCCTTGGTGGAGGAGAATATTGAGGTGCGGAGAGATTAAGGTCACCCAGCAATCTGTGATAGGACTGTAATTTGACTCTAGGTCTGACTCTAGAACCCTTTTGCTCTTCACCCTCGATTTCTATATCTTCTGGTCTGGCAGCTCTGTGTGGTTATTTGTACATTTGTCTTTTTATATTTCGTCCAAAATCGAGCTGTATTGTTGGTGTTTCCTAATAACACCTAGCACAGCATCTTGCCCAGAGAACGTCCTTGATAAATTGTTTCTTGTTGGACAAGAGTAACTGAATGGAGGAAGACTGAATGTGAGCCAGTGAATGGTCTTCCTGGGCATGAAACTAACACTGAATTATGGCATTGTCCGTAGCAATATTTCCCCCCTTCTTTTCAGAATCAATTTTTGTTCTTCAGTCCTCTCATTTCTTCTGAGTTCTGGATGTCACCTAAAATGTTTCCAGGTGAAATAATCGTGGATTTTTGGCTGATAGCTCTTGGAGGGGATTATACTGGGCAGCTAGTCCCACCTGGTTTTCATGGCGCAGACCACCCAGTTGTTCATGTCTAGAAGGTGAGCCCTCGACCCCTTGGCCGCCATTATACAGAGTGGTATCTGAGGCTAACAGGCGAATTTCCATCTCTCTCTTTTTTTTTTTTTTTATTTATTCATTTGACAGATAGAGATCACAAGTAGGTAGAGAGACAGGCAGAGAGAGTGGAGGAAGCAGGCTCCCCGCTGAGCAGAGAGCCCCTATGCGGGGCTCGATCCCAGGACCCTGGGATCACAACCTGAGCTGAAGGCAGAGGCTTTAACCCACTGAGCCACCCAGGCGCCCCTCCATCTCTTTTTAACATCAGACTCCCCTTTGCCTGGATATACAGTTCTAATTTTATTTGATTATTAAAATAGTTTTCTATTTTGTTGTTAATTACCTAGAGATGTTTTTATATCTTTGGTAGGTTGAGAACTGGTCTTTTTCATATTTTCATGTGCATTGTTTTACTCTGACATTTCTTCTAGACCTGTCTGCAAGATCCTTTTGTTTCCCCCCTTCACTCTAACGAACTCATTCTGCTTTTGCTCCTTTTTCTAACTGGCTCTTTGACTAGTCACTTGTATGGACTGCTCTGCTTTGCTGGCTGTTTTCATTGCCTTTTTTTTTTTTCCTTTATTCTCCTCAACTGAAATGAAAAAAGTCCTCCAAACCCTCTGCAATGTTGAAAGCATCCCACTAAGCCGTTGTGGTCCCTGTTTGTTTCATCCATCCCGCCCCCAAACCAGAACCTTCTCGTTAGCTGTTCCCACTGATTTTGTGCTTATTTGTTGGTTCTGTTCCATCTGTTGTGCCTTATTGTCCGCAAGGCCTCCAGCCCTCTAGAACCACTCTTTCCTTCCTTATCCAAATAGAATATGTCCTCCCCCATCCCCTGCTGTCCCTTGCCTCTGTGGGAAGTCTACAGGCCCTCCAGTATTTCTGACGACGCCAAGCTTCATCCATTTGCCTAGTGGTTACTGGCCCATCTCCTTCTCTTCAAATCCCAACCCCATTCTCAACAACCCCAGTCTCCTACCAGACCCTGGCCTCCCTCTCAGGTCCTTCTCCCCCAAACACAAGCTCCCTCTCCAGCCCCTGAGGCTACCCTGGGGCAATACCGCTCTCCCTGAGCCTTCGCTGTGATCCTTTCCATTCTGACACAGATTCTCTCATCCAGACAGCAAGGACCTTCCCTTTCTTAAATATAATGGATTGATCTTGCTTTCCTAAACAAAAGAACAATTTTCCCCTGAGATGAATTCTGTGACTCTCTCAGAATATGAAATGGTTATAGTCAGCAGGGCTTTTTTTTTTTTTAAATATCATTTTCCCCCCTTCCTGATTTATTACCTTTTGTGTATTTTATGAAGCTCAGATGCTAGAGTAGAAGGAAATGCGCCTCATAAACAGCAACAGGAACAGATAAATCGCTATTGTCAAACATTTAAAAAAAAAAAAAACACTGGCTGAATTTTATTTCCTTGGAAAAGAGGAAGGCCCGAGCACACAGAATATTAGGTTTTGCTCTTTCTGACTGGATTCTTGTGTCCTGGGAACTGAGCAAAATGTGGCTATGTAGGGATTTTTATTCATGTTAAGGCCAGAGAAGCAGCAACGGCAGGCAGCCGTCCTTTCTTCAGCCCAGAGTGAGTCTGGCTCTGGCTCTGGCTCACCCTGTGATGTGGGCGTCTAAAGGAGAGGAAGGAGCCTGGAGCCAGAGGAACAATTGCTGGGACCCACAGAAGGCCCTGGAACATTCTAGACCTTGACCCTCTCGGTGCTTCCAGCAAGTACACCCGGCCCCGGGCCCTCTGCAGTCCTTCCAGCTCTTGAGTTCCACCTGGCTGACTGCCAGAAGCCCCCTGTGTGGTGTCTGCCTGCCCCCTGCCCCGCAGCCTGTGCTGTATGGGGCAGGCCTCTGACCTGGGCCCCTTTCTATGTTGTCTCCAGGGGCAGGGTGCCTTATCAGAGAGACTTCGCAGCTTCAGCATGCAGGACCTCACCACCATCAGGGGTGACGGTGCCCCTGCTCCCTCCAGCCCGCCCACACCGGGGTCCGGGCGAGCCACCGGCAAACACGGCCAGCCCAAGATGTCCAGGAGCGCTTCTGAGAGTGCTAGCAGCTCAGGTAGGTGTCATTTCCCTCTTCCCCCTTTCCAGTTCATAGGTCTTGCTTTTGTTGCCAGTGGCCCAGTCCACACCACGTGGCATATAACGCGGCATTGCCATGCACACAGATGTCCATCAGATCATTCCAGGCCGGCTGAGAAGCAGAGCACCACTCAGGCCAGCATGGGAGGCTGGCCTGGGGACTCTGATCAGGGGAAAGGATTAGACTGCCTGCACCAAAGGGTCTTGCCTGCTCCATCTGATGATCTGAGGGTCTGGGGGTGGTTGGGGAATAGTGCCTGAACCAAGCCTGGAAGCCATGGGCACAGCTGGCCCTCGGCCAAGGCAGCTTTCTTCCCTCTTTTCCTCTCTGACCCCACACTCCCAGGAGGGCTTACCTGCACCTGAATTTCTCTTCCAGGGCTTACGGCTCCTGTGGTCCCTTTTCCCTGCCTGAATGTCTCCTGTACTCCCTCACTCCACCATCTCCTCCCAGCCCTGAGCCCCCATTCACCACGCACACCCTCAGCCACTATGTGCCAAGGGCCACACTAGCTCCGAGGTCTGATTCCTGCAGAGGCCATGGCTTTAGGGAAACCCCACCTGTATCCCCAGTGTCTCAGGATGCTTGTATTAGCATTGACCTCGGGGCCCTGTTAAACATGCAGAGCCCTGTGCCCATGCCCGGAGGGGTCAGTGAGTCTGGGATGAGACTCACATATGTGATGGTGTTGAGGTACAGCCAAATTTGGGACCCACGGGTGTCTGACCCATTAGTGGGTTTCAGGCTTATGGGGGGGGTGTAGTTTGGGGGCTTATGAGGGGGTAGGGTGCTGGGCCAGGACTCACATCTTCCAAACCATTCCTTGGAGAGCTTCCAGGGTCCTTGACTCTCGGGGGCTGAGCACGGCCGGGTTAATGGTGAAGAGGGTACAGGGGCCAGTCCTGGATTGCCAGCTCAACTCCTCACCCTTGGTGGGAAATCCAGCCTCGCAGATGGGAATCGGACCACCCTTTTGGAGCCTGTCTGTGACATGTGCCTGGTAGCAGCCCTGCTCTTGAACACAGAGAGGGGCCCTGACCCTGTGCTGTGAGGTGCAGCCCAAGCCTCAGGGACCCCGCCTGACTTTGGGGGTCATGGACAGGTTTGGGAACAAAGGGGCCCTGTGGCTGCCCTAGGAATAAAGACTCACGTGCCCTGCCAGGAAGAGGGGAACAGCTCAGAGCCCGGTGTCCATCAATTTCCTCCCTTCTGAGGAATAGTCCACTTTACCCTGGCCCCAGGTGTGAAGACTGTTTTTCTTGGAGGGAAGATGGTTTAACTCCGGCGGTGTTGGGAAAGTTGAAGCTTGGCTGTAGAGGTGAGGATCATCTTGGGTCGGGGGTTATCTCCTAAGTGAACCCTCCCCCAGGAGAGTTCAGAACGGAATCCCAGAAGGCCAGGCAGGCAGGGACCTCAGGATGGTTCAGTCTGAGCTTCGGATTTTACCGATGAAGAGACAGAGGCCCAGGGAAGGGAACGGTATCCAGGGTAACCCACTGACTGGCGTTCTCCGGGGTCTCCTGACTCCTGGGCCAGTGCCCTCCAGGTGCTCACCCCTCCACCATCTAGGTGTCCTTGAGCATCTCCAGCTTCTGACCTACTGGGCATTGTCTCAGAAATAGGGCTAGAAACTGGAATTAGGGGTCACCTCCACCTTCGGTAAGCTCATGGGCTATAGAACCTCAATGTGAACTGTTATTTGGAAGAAAAATGGGCCCCAGTTCTGGGAGGCTCAGAGGACGGAGCAAGAACCAATGGGATAAAGTTGATAAAGTCCCAAGGGGGCAGCTGCTTACTACCTGTATGACCTGGGCTCAGGTTCCCTATCTGTACACACGGGATGACAATACCCATTTGTAGGGGTGTCTTGAGGATTCAAACAAGATAATCCGTGCAAGAGTGCTTAGGATCATGCCTGGCATTTTATGTAGTAGCTTCTATTGTTTCTGTTGTTATCTAACCCACCCATGAAAACGCTTTCTAATGGGAAAGTGTCCAGGAGACAAATGAGCTGCCTTGAGAGGTCCCTGAAAATTGGAAGGAGCCAAACCAAAGCTGGATGGTCATGTACTGAGGCTCTAAGGAGGTCTTCCTGCTGTGGCCAGCAGGTGGGCCTCAGCAGCCCCACAGTCCTTCGCCCTCTAAGATTCTATGTTGTCATTATAAAGTGAACCAAGTAGAGGAAGTATGTTCAGAGAGGTCATGTATGGTGCCAAGGCCACCCAGGACCCGATCGAGGCGTCCTGCCTAGACTGTTCCTTGGTGGATGATTCAGGGCAGCCTCAGAACGTGGGAAAGGGAGAAGTCTGGTAAGGTCAGAAGGCAATGGGAAGCATGTGCCTGGCTTCCACCGTTTTCCCAGACCAGCACTAGATAGACACGGGTTTGGGATGCTCTGTCTCTGTGCTGGTCCTGCCGCCTCCCATTAGCTCTGACACACTCTGTGGCATGCCGGGCCTCGGGCTGAGCCCTCGGAGCTCCCGGAGAAGCAGAGAACCTGCGATGCTACCACAGGATGCCGCCTGCTCTTCCTGCTGCTCCCCTCGGCCACAGCACCTGTAATTCCAGGGGGCAGAGGAGGGAGGTGCTGACCCAGCAGGAAGGGCAGGGACCATGTGGCACTCGCTCCAGCTGTCCTGGGGCCTAAAATAAAAGTCCTCTCGGGAAGAGAGACAGGTGAAAGATGACCCGGGGCCTGGGCATGCCACTAAAGCACCCAGATCAGAGGCCCGGGAGCAGTTGGGGATCGAGGTGCCTGGAAGGAAGTCTGGCAGAGGAGGCCCAGCTACAAAGGGCTGGTGTTCCTCCCTCCTGGCCTTGTGGGCCTTGGACACTGGGCGTGGTCGGGTGGGGCTGGTGTCTGGGCTCCCATTCCGGCAGGGCGACCGTGGGCCTGCAGCAGACATAGTGTGAGCAAGGCAGGCATCCTTAGGCACTTTCCACATTGTTCGCATTGGGCCTCCGACCCTTTCTCGGAATGATACCCCAGGCAGTCACTACTACAGAATTCGACCTAGGCATGGAAGCGAGCACAGTTCCCTCCAGTGCTCTCCTCTGGAGAAAGGGTACCATAATCCCTATTCAGCCTATGTCTTAGGGTTGGGAGGAGAGCAAACAGGAGAATTTGCGAAGCCTGGACAGCTGTTGAAGGCAGCCTAACAGCGGACAGGTAAGAGGCGGTGGCTGGACCCCATGGAGATGTGCGCAGCTGTGGGAGGCAGTGGTCTCAATGTTCATCCAGGCGGATCTCAAAAACATGATGCCTAGTGAAAAAAGGACAAAACAGAGTGAGATATTATGGAACAGTGTGTGTAAAATAAAAATACATATCCCTGGTGTGAAATAATAATACAGACTTTCCAGGAACATATTGCCCTCCCTACAGAATTTTGTTAGACACCATTTTTTGAAAGCTTGGCATTGAACCCCAGGAAGGGTGCAGAGGGTGTTGAAAGAGTGATCCTTGCCTTCCATGATTTTGGAGACACAGCATGTATTTAGTAAGCACCTACTGTATACCAAGGCCCAGATGGGCACCAAGACCAGTGGAGTTTGCATAGCAACAGCCAAGTGACTGACCCTAAGCACTCCGGAGAGCCAGAGGTCAGTCTGAGAAGGTTTCCTGGAGGCCATTCTGAACTGGAAGGAATCCAGAGCAGGGATGTGGGGGCAGGTGCAGTGGCAATTATTTTTTGGAGGATTTAAGGACAGACCTCTGTGGGCCAGGCACGGGTATTTTTTAGCCCCTGAGAAGAAGCGGAATCTGGTATGATCTCCTCCCCCAACCTTGGTGTCTCTACAGAGACCCACAGTCCTGGGACCCCTATATTGAACCCACTGGGGCCTCCCCGCTTGCCTGGGGCTGGTTCCTGTCAAGTGCGGGGTATCACTGATGATGTCCCCCATCCCCACAGTGTGTACCTGCTGCTCCACCTGCAGGACCCGGAAAGGTGAGTAAGCAGCCAGCCTCTGTGCAGCGTGCTGGGCTCTCGCCGGAGGCGGAGGTTCTAACCAGAAGCTGGCGCCTAACCCTGGGGCTCCCTTCCAGCTGCACAGTCTGTGGGGAATTCAGGTGGTTAACTCCCTGAAATAACAAACCTGTGTTATCTTACAGTGTGTGCAGGCTCGGAATTCAGGAGCAGCTGAACTGGGGGGGTTCCGGGTCAGGGTCTATGAAGAGTTGTAGTCAGGATACTGGCAGGGGCTTGGTCATCCGAAGGCTTGACTGAGCTTTGAGGATCTGCTTCTAAGATGGCTCTCTCGTGGCTTCCGGCTGCAGGCTCGGGTCCTTACCACATGGGTCTCTCTGGGGCTGCCTGAGCGTCCTTACAACATAGCAGCTGGCTTCACCTGGAGTGAGTGATCCAGTAGAGAAAGGACACTCGGGAGGTTGCAGTAGGTTTTAGGACCTAGTCTTTGAAGTCACACGCCACCACCTCTGCCTTCTTTTGTTTGTTGGGAGAGAGTCATTAGGTCCAGCCCCCACTCAAGGGGAGGGGAATTAATCTCCACCTCTTAAAGGGAGGTGTATCAAAGAATGTGTAGAGATCTTCTGAGACCACTGCAGGGCCGTATTTCCTGGTGCTCTGTGATGAGGACACAGGAACTTACCCCGGTCCTTGGAAGTGACAGATCCCCGTACCTCCAGGGGTCTCGGTCCAGGTGCAGCCAGGGGAGCCCTGGCCCTGCTTTGCCGCTTACTAGCTGTGTAACCATGCGTGAACCACCTAACCACGCTGAGCCTTGATTTCCCCTTGGTAAAATAGAAAGATCCTACCTCCCCATCTCACTGCGTGGTTGTGAAAATGTCCGTGAAAAGGCTTTGTATTTCAGCCCGGAGCAGCCAGGAAACCTCCAGGAGCAGGGAGGAAAACAGGGTTCCCCAGTCCTGGACAGGGACTCGTGCTCCTGCCTTTCCTGTGAGCAAGTGATGGCTTGATGCAGCCGTGGCCGCCCCGTGGTTGGACGTGTTCTCT